TGCGGGCTGGCGCGCACGACTTCGGAGCCGGACACCTTCATCTTCATGGGCGGCGATCTGTGCCACCACGGCGGCGAGATCAGACCGTCCACGTACATGCCGCTCCCGGCGCACATCCATCCGCACGCGGTGACGACGAGGGCGCTGCACTCGCCCTGTCCGGGCGCCGTGTTCGAGGCCGTCCAGCGCACGCGGGGCAGGTCGCCGACACAGCCCTTCTTCGACCCGGCCATGGGCCTCTCCATCCCCCAGGCGATCGAGACGATCGTGCGGGCCCAAAAGGCCGACGGCGACGACAACGTGCTCTTCATCTACGCGCACGACACGACCGCGAGGGGCGTCGTCGACTTGTTCCCCGCCACCGCCAATGACTGGAAGCAAAGAGGGTGGCGCGAGAAGATGTTTTGGGCGTTTCTCGCGGATTTTCGCATCGCCGAGACTTGAGATACTTTTTTTTGCTCTCTGTTGCTCGAGTGGCATGGTTCTTCTCCCAAAGGGGATGGAGACGCTGCGTCCCACAAGTAAGGAATGGCCTATTGGTCATCGATTCTTAACCAAATATCTATTCTGCTGACGCTTGCTATACCGCTCCAATATCACTAGTAGGTGTATCAAGACGCTTTCCACAACCCATTATTTATAGTGCCGTGTAATTATTTCGCACTATTCACCTCGCCGCCGCTTGCCGTCTCCAAGTTGCCCTTGACTTCGTCCCTGTACGCGTTCATGCCGGCCTTGAACATGGGGGCGCTCATGAGTGTATCCCAGTTATGCACCATGCGGGTCTGCATCAAGCTGACCTCAATCTCCTTCAGGCTGCGTGCCTTCATCTCTTCCTCATACGCGCTCACGGCCTGCTCGAGCGTCTTGTCTCCTTTTGCCACCTCACTCAGTTCCGACACGAGCTTCTCGGCGTCTTGGAATGCGTTGTTCAGCCCCTGACCGCGGAACGGAGGCATATTGTGCGCGGCGTCCCCGGCCAGCGTGACGTGCGGCCACAGCGGACTGGACGACCAGTCCATATCTGGCCTCCACATCGTGATGGCGTCGACTTGCAGCGGCAGGTCGGGCGGAACGTTGCGGCCAGCGCTTTTCCAGGGTTCGGCGTAGATCTCGGCCTTGGACTTGATGAAGTCGATTTTGGATTGCTGGTCGGGGAAATCTTCGGCGTGTGGTCGGCCGGGCCAGGAGAGACATTGTTGGAAGAGGAACGTGGATGGATCATCGGGATCTTTCACGTCCTGGATCGCCGTCACCCAGCTCATGCCTGTCGGGTGGTAGCCAATGCGGAATATCGGGTGGGCTTTGCGTTGCAGGAGGGCAGCGTCGGCTGGGAGGGACCAGCAGGCGTTGAACATCTGTACGTCGATGGGAGAGTTGGTGGCCTGGTCTTTGCCAACAAGCGCCTCGCGGATGTAGGAGTGCACACCTTCGCAACCGACGATTAGGTCACCGGTGGCCGTACTGCCGTTGGCGAAGGTGGCAGTTGCGGACCCATTTGCCTGGGATACCGACACGATCTTGCAGCCATATCGCACGTCTAGACCGTCGCTCAGGAGGGCGCGGAGCTTGCGACGAGACACACGCAGAGGATTGAAACCCTGCATATCGAAGAACTTCTCGCCTGTCTGGCCGTTGAACATGGGCCAGGACGTGTGCTTGCCCGTGTAGAACGTGTCGCAGCATGCTTCACCCAGACGAGCCATGAGTTCCGGTGGGATGCATTTGGCCAGGTACTCTTGGCCAAAGTGCAAGGTCATTCCCCATTCTCGAGGCCGGGTGTGATATGTAGACTCTTCCTCTCGTTCGTAGACGGTTGCTTTAATGCCATTCTGGGTGTTGAGTTGCCTGTTAGCCTGGCATGAGGCCCTCGCCCCCAACAGCCATCAGCACATACCAGTTTCAATCCTTGTGCGATCAACAACCCCGTCGCACCAGCCCCAACGATCACAACCTCGAGATTCCTCTTGTCAGTCATAGGTTCTGTGGGATTGCGGAGACGGACGGTTCGAGCCTTCACAAGGCGCAAAGCTCGAATTGGAGGGGGACTGTCCGAGCATTTTACCACAGTTCTTCAATCAGCGCTTGCAGAGTGTGACGTGGCTAACTTAACCGAGTGACATTAACTGTGATGAACGAGTCTTGCGAGCTTGAGTGCTGAGGTGGAACTGAACAAGGGAACTGCCACCCCGACCTCTCTAGCTGCAGAATGTCAACCGGGTACTTTTGAACCACCCCTGCAAGTCTTACCAATCGCTAGGCATCGCGACATGGCCGGACCAATACCGAATTCGTCCTTCTCTCGACACCATCTGACAAGTACCGAGTAGCTCTCGGGGAAACTGCGCGGCGCAGGCTTGGATCTGCACAAAACAAGCCCAACATCTGCGCAGCTGCGGTCCACAGCAAAGTTGCGAACTAAATGGTTCATGGCCAAGTTCACATTGTCAACCACCAGCCCGATCTCACCCCTCTCAGACCGTGGTTATCACCTCTTCTTCAAGGGCTAGATGACTGCATGAACTTTAGGCTCATGCTTCCGATGTCCTCGTTTACCCGGCCCCCGGCGGCTTCGTGGCTTGAACCTTGGCTATACTTGACGGAAGCTTAAGCAGGGGAGGTGATCCTTGGCCCATGCATGGAGGTGTTGTTGTTCAAGAGATGGTACATAAACGGCTTTCTATCCTGCCGTCTTCTCCCGATTCCCCTGCGCTTATTTTGATGTACCTTTGCGAGGCCAGTGGTCGTCGACTGTGGCAGCACCTCACACCAGGGTTTTGTATGATGGCAGAGCAACAGGGTCCAGCAGGCCATGAAGCAGACGGCCACCCTCTGATCGCTGTCGAAGAAGATGAGGCTGTCGGCGATTTGTAAGTGTCCAATACTACACATACACAGAGACCTCAGGACAAAGAAATAGTGTTTTGACTTGCCATTTCCTGGAAAAGAGACAACATATCCACTCTTTCATTGCGATCAAGCTTGCTTCGACCTGTCTACTCCCATGGCAGGCAATATCAAGGCTTTAGAGACGGAGGTATGTATACTTCCTGGCAAAGACGGCCAAGTAGAGCAAAGCCATTCATGTAATCTTAGCATATCATCGACCAAACGACGAAGTGAGTCCATCCCGCCTCTAGTTCGACGTAACCGAATATCTCAAAATCGCAACAGGAGGAGCTCAACCGCCTTGACCTCATGGACGAAATGTTCTTCCACATCAACAAAGGAGAGCTGCATCTAGCCCCTATCAGCGACAGCGGGCTTAGGGTTCTCGATATTGGCTTTGGCACAGGAACTTGGGCTATCGCCATGGGTGACGCGTATCCGCAGGCAGAGATCATCGGCGTCGACATCAGTGCTTCAGCTCCTGAATGGGTGCCACCCAACACGAGATTCGAAATCGCAGACGTAGAGGACGACTGGACCTTTCGAGCTCCCTTTGATTACATCCACTGCAGGTACATGGCAGGGGCCATCAGAAATTGGCCGCAGCTCATGCGTCGGACATTTGAGTGAGTGCCTGGTCGCTGTGACCCTTCGAGGCTTTTGGATCTCGCCAAGGACTATACTGACCCTTTGTTTTTTGTGAAGAAACCTCAAACCGGGAGCTTGGGCCGAGTTCGCTGATCTCGACATCGACTACTACAGCCAAGACGGTACTCTGACCGAAAACGACGCCCTCTCGCGCTGGATCAAGATCGCCGCTCAAGGCATGGAGGATCTGGGTCGCTCATTGAGACCTGGCAAGAGACTTGAAGGCTGGATGAGGGACGCCGGGTTCGTGAATGTGAATGTTGGTGTCAGCCATTCCTATTATCTCACATGCGGCGCCCCTTTCTCCTTCAATCGCTGACTCGATCTGCGCATTGTGTAGGTTGTTCGCACTCCCGTCCCAGTCGGCACCTGGCCCAGGGACAAGCGACTGGTAAGTCAAGCACCCATATCCTTTTGACCTTTGACATGTTTCTCCCGAATTTGCGTGTCGTTCAGAACTCAGGCTTACTTACATTTGTCCTTATTTCCTTCCTGTAGAAACGCATTGGGCTCCTCAACTTCATCCAGCTGCACGAGGGACTCACCGGCCTCAATGTTCGACTCTTCTGCGACTTTCTCGGCTGGAGCCGACAGGATCTGGACGTTCTGCTGATGCAGGTCCGCAGCGACTTTAGGAATCCGTCCATCCACAGCATATACGATATGTAAGTGTGTCATTTGCGAGTTTCGGCGAATGCTGCGCGGTCAAAGCGTCCAGCGTCCCTCCAGTATCAATGGATCATGCCAATGCTAATGTTGATGTTGCAAAAAGGTACACAGTCTGGGGACAGAAGCCTACGTCTTGAACGTGGGAATGAGTCTCTTAAGCAAAAGGGAATTTCCGCCCTGGATGCCATCTATACCAACTATGTACATCGAGAGGACGACCTCGACCCCAGCCTTGGATACTACCGATGGCTGTTTCAGCATGCAGAATATATCCCGCCAGCCACTCTTAATGCATTCCGATGGTAGATCTGAGGTGGTAAGTGAAGGGTCGATTAGAAGGCGTCAAGATACTCGAGGGCCGAGGCGGTAACTCTGGGAAAGGCAACCGGGGACAAAAACTGGGTATAAAATAGGGAAGGATCCTGTATTACAAGGCCTACCAGGAGCCCCAAAAATCTAAAATTAAATCCACCGGAGGATCAATCAACCAAAAAAAAGGGGGGGGGGGGGGGGAATTTTAAAGGCTCTTCTCAGAGAGAATAGATACAAGGTCAGGAGCCTTATTAAAAGTCATATATACAGTCGCACTCACTAACCTTGGAATATGAATGTCTATCCATCTGCATGCGCCATATATCCATCCTCGTCGTCAATATCTTCGTTTTCTTCTTCTCCTCCTCTTACATCGTGGGACATGATAGAGGACACAATGAATAATGGATGATGAATGGAGAGATCACGCAATGGAGGTGACTTTATTGTCTTCTTACCCAAAAAAGAAAAAGAAAGTTCAATCAGTCCAAGACGACGAGATTCACCTCCTTTTCAAGCCCAAGCCAGTCGTCGAGGTTCATTGAGAGGACACCCTCGCGGTAGAAATGGCCATCTTCTCCTTCTTCTTCACCCTCGGGACGACGAGAAAGGACCAAGCAATGCACCGTGCGGTCCCAGATGTCAAAGACCACGGCTGGTGAGGGTTGGTTTTCTTCGTCTTGTTCTCCGTCCCCGTCTCCATCCTCTGCCTCGACCTCTTCTTCCTCGCTGTGCTGTCGAGAACCACCATCCGACAGAAATATCTCCCCGGCACCGCGAGGCAAATTGGAGCCTTCCATGGCCACCGCAGCGAGGGTTACCGATACAGATCCCGGAGTGGGAGAAGCGCCCGCATCAGCGAAAATCCCCTGCGCGACATCCTCGGAGATGCACAGGTTCTGGACTCGCAGCCTCTTCTTATTCTTCTTCTTCTTCTTTTCCTTGCTTCTCGAGAGAGGGACGACGACGACGACGACGCTCGATGCGAGCCGTTCGGGGTGAATGTCAAGAGACTTCTCGTCCAGAAGCACCGTCGTGCAGGGTCCCCAGAAGACGATGCTTGCGGATTCGCTTTTCAGCGGGAGGTAGCCATGGCCATCTGATTGCTGCTGATGCTGCCACATGTCAAAAGGGCGGGCCAGGACCGTGTCCTCGGCATCGTACCCACTAAGAATGTCATTCCACTCCCGGCCCTGCCGGTGCAGGTAGGTCGGATACTTGAAGCATTTGACCAGAGACCGCCACCCCTTCCCTTGAGCCGAGCGCGTCGCAAACTGCGGGAACCGGACTGGGCCGAGCCAGGCCATCCAGGACCATGAGGGCGCGTCGGGGAAGGCGAGGCGGCGCTTGATCGCGTGTGTCATGGTCGTTGTCGTCTTCCCGCGACTACTCGTGGCCAGTCGAGACCCGCCACGGACGCTGCTCCAGCAGAGAAACCCCTCGAAATTTGGTTCTGGTAGACCCCAGTGGAACACCGTCGTGGTCGACATGGACGAAATGTACCACATTAGTCCCTCGAGCGCGTTCTTGATGTCGCTCTCGTACGAGAGCTGTCGTCGCGTGTAGCACTCGATCAAGGCCGCGGCGTCTGCGAGGTCGGTCGGGTCGGGCTTGGGGTGTTGAGCACTAGCAAATTCGACGTCGGTATCGTCGTTGTCGTCGTCGTCGTCGTTGTAGCTGTTGCTACCGCTTCTCGGCTCTTCCGCGAAAATGGCAGACTCCAGTCGAGGCCTGTTCAACCCGTCGTACTTTGCAAACCGGAACTTCTCGCCCGTCACGTCCAGGCCCTCGGCCCAGTCGGCCGTCCGACACACCCAGATGACCTGCTGTTCGCAGAAGAGCAGCGTCTGCCTCGACAGCAGGAACTCCTGTAGCGTCCAGGCGCGGCTGGGCCATCCGCGGCTCACGTAGAGCGACTCGACGGGACGTTCGGGCTGGTGGGGTATCTCGACCAGGCCGGTACTGCCACCGCCGCTCCCGCCGCCACCAGCAGGGTGTTGCGTAGCGGAAAAGGTCGTGTGAAGCAAAGGGACCCTGTCGTAGCTGACTCCCGGGAGGCCCTCGTGGCAGTTTGTGCCCGCCACGGCGGCAACAGTGAGGCGCGAGTACGTGTAGATGACGTCCATGTCGGCGATGTTCTGGGCCTTGTCGTCCTCGTCGTCCTGGAGGATGGAGACGACGTCGGCCCAAAAGTACGCGATCCCCACGCTGCGCGCCACCTGCATCGCGTCCTCGACCGTCTGGGAGAGTTTGGGCACGCCGCCCGGCCTCGAGAAGGCGTCCAGGTTCGCCGTCGTCAGCCGCACCGCCTGCTCCGTCACGCCCCAGACGTAGCTCAGCGCGGCGTAGCCGCCCTCGATGTCTTCGAGGCGGAGCGTCACGATCCGTCGCGTAGCAATCTCCACCACGCGCAGCTCCGTCGTCTTGCCGCTGCGCGAGAGGAAACTCTCGGCTTCGCGCTGCCGCCCCGTCGTCGAGGTGTGCTGCCGCTCGCAAGTCTCCAGCCAGTGCCTGGCGTGCTCGGGGTCAAAGCGTGGGGACACCCAGCGGCCGACGAAGGATGGTACAGCGGTGTTCGAGCGTGGTGATGCCTGCTGTTGGCGAGTGTCCAACAGGCCAAAGGACGCGGTCTCGCCGTGGCGGAAATCCGGATGGAACGACAGATTGAAGCACATCAAGTGAGTCGTGTCGTAGCTACTGCTGCTTTCTTTTCCTTCTCCTTCTCTCCCACCATCGTAATGATCATGATCATGCCCCCCCACCACGACGCCAAACTTGCGAGTGTAGACATGGACGGGGACGAGCTCGCGACGGGCCCTGTCGATATCGGCGGCCGCGAACCGCCTCTCCAGGAGTTCGAAGCAGAAGGCGCAACAGCGACAGCTCGAACTCCGGTGCTGGAGCTCTCTCACAGTCCCGAGGGACACGAGGACCAGGGCCGACTCCACGGGTCGCGCGTCGGCGGTGGGTGCCACTATGCCGTCCAGGCCTCGCACCTGGGCGCTGGTGTTGAACAAGACCAGACCTGGCGACGCGTTGGTCGTCGCGGGCGAGACTCGGGGCAGGCCGGCGCTTGTCCAGTCGACGCCGCGGCATATCGAACAGAGTAGCTCCGCTGCTGCCATTTGTCCGTCCCCCTGGTTGGGCTGGATATGTCCGATTAGCGGCCAAAAACAAGACCCTGGGGGAGGGGGGAGAAGGTTTACCTCCAAAGGATGCGGCTGTGGTCAAAACCTCGAGTTCGTAGAGAGAGAGAGAGAGGGACAGGCTGGAGATATATTCCTACATCACAGTGCGCCTCATTTTTAGTCATTTTAGCCCATGTGCCTTTACATGGTGAACAAAAAGAACGAAGCGAGATTTTAATCACAGTACAAGACAAATCTGAACCACTTGATGAATATTGGGAAGAATAGAATGAAAAGTCCAGGTGACCGAAAGGGTTCGATTCGGAAAATATTGGCTTGCACGACCATATAATGGTAGATATTTGACACCCCAGCTCCCAGTCCAGTATTTCCTGTGTGCGCGACTCAACAGCGTATACATATTTCTGGATTCGCCCATCTCGACTATACGGACGCCCGCTACCGTCTTGTCCAACGAGTCGTGACGCCTTCAACACACACAGCCGTCCCGTCCCACTCTAAGGGGGTATCTCATTTCCCATCACAATCGTTCCACAACACCATAACGCTCATGGCCACGGGCTCGGTAGTTGTTGTTGTTGTTCGATTCGTGAGCCTACTCATGCTGTGGCAGTAGAGTATTTCCAGCCTTGCAGATCATTCTCAAGACTGCGATTCAACGTGTTGACGTATTCAACCATTCCGCCAGACCTGCAGGATTGTTAGAATTCTTCGTCCCACGAAAAAGAAATGGGTGACCTACCAATTCAATGGCTCAACTTTTCGACCTGGGATATTGGCGCCCTGGTACCAACTCTTGGCCATGGGGAATAACGTGGCATCCCACTTCTCGTTCATCCTCTTGCACCAATCTTGCTCAGACTCCGGAGTGGCTTCAAGCCTGGTGATGCCCTTGTCCTTGATCAATTTGAACGTCTTCTCGACCCATTCGGCCTGGAACTGTGTACAACTCGGGCCTGAGCTGAAAGCCGTAGGTGCCTGTGGACCGTACAAGAAGAACAGGTTGGGGAATTCGGGCATGGCGATACCCATGGCTGTTTTGGTACCATCTTTCCAGTGATCAGCAATCGTCCCACCCTTTGTCCCTTGAATGTTGAGTTGAGCCAGCGAACCCGTGACCGAGTCGAAGCCGGTGGCCAGGATTATAACGTCCACCTCGACCAGACCCTGTTTGGTTCTGAGACCAGTGGCTGTAACTTCTTCGATAGGATTCTCGTTGACGTCAATAATCTTAACATTGGGTTGGTCAATCACCTCGTAGAACCTCTGTTCGAGGGACGGGCGTTTAGTCCCCCATGGATGCGGAGGAACCTCAGGGGCCACAAGCCTCTGTTTCTCGGGGTCTTTGACACGTTTTAAGACCTGCTGGCGCCAGAAGTGGTAGGCGGGTTCGTTGGCTTTGAGGTCAAACAGCATGTCTTTGTACGTGGCAAGCCAGAATTTGAAACCGCCGTCCTCGACCATGAGCTTGTGGTAGGTCTTCTCACGTTCTTCGGGCGTGTCATCGAAGGTGTTTTTCTCCATGAAGTCGTAGGTGAAGCCAGCAAAGGTGTTGCGCGTCTTCTCCATCTCGGCCTCATACCAGCCGTTCTTCTTTTTCTCCTCCTCTTCTTGAGGATCAAGCAGGCGTTGGTTCATCGGCAGGCACATGTTGGGGGTTCTTTGATAAACGGTCAACTCTTTCACGACTGGACCAATTTCCTGGATGACCTGAATTCCAGAGGCACCAGTGCCAACTTCGGCGACTCGCTTGCCCTTCAAATTAACACCGTGCTGGGGCCATACGGCTGTATGGTAGATGTCGCCCTTGAAGTTGCCGAGTCCAGGAAATGGAGGTGTATATCGTTTGCTGGCAAATCCGATGCAGGGAATGAACCACCTGGCGTAGATCTCGGTTCCGTCCGAACATTCGATCAACCACTGTTGACGACTTTCATCAAAGACGGCGCCGTCTACGTGTTTATTGAACGAGGTGTAGTCGCGGATATTCCACTTCTTCTCGACATGTTCGAAATAGCGGCGAAGCTCCTGCCAGCCTGGGTATCGCTCCTTGAAGGTGAAATCTTCCCATAGCTCCTTGTCAAATAGCTGGTAAATGGGGGTGTCGGTATCCACACGAGCACCAGGATAGCAGTTCCAATACCATATACCACCACTGGCAGACCCCTTTTCGAAGATACGAACGTTGTAACCGAGCTTTCGCAGACTGAGCCACGACAGTCAGCCCTGTGCTTACACGCAGGACCAGATGTAGCACTTACCGATTCAACAGCGTGAAAGAAGCAAAGCCAGCTCCAACAAGCAGGACATCGACCTCCTCAATCTGATGAGAGCCCATAACTGTTGCAGGGATTTGTAACGGCCGTGTGCACTGGGTGGAAGAAGGCAGTTTACGTCAGGACAAAGAGATGTAGAGGGATGGCGGCACGCATTTGCTGCCTGTGGTGGCCGTGGGCCTTTTGTATCTCTTGTTGACCTACCCCGCGCACGCCCGCGTCTCCTTGCCACCCCCATTTGACCCCAGAGAGACATGATGTGTGTTGATCAGCTTCCCGGATCCGGTCCCCAGTTGGACGTCCGAAGGTGAGGGGTTGCAGGCGGGCCAAAGGAGTGGCGGATGTGAGAATGGATTAGAAAGAGCGAGGGAAGCTCCAGTGCTCCAGCAGCTTTTGGAATCTCCGTTGACTGATGATAGGCCGTTGTTCGGATAGAAGGCCCTCCAATGCGCACTGATCTGCGTGGAGCAGGAGAACTTTCGGCCGGCTGCTGTACCCAGTCAAATCGTTTGGAAGTGTGGTGCAATGGCGGAAATGTTCCATTCTGGTACTCCAGTGAGTCTTGCAAGTGTGGGGTGAAGGGGGGAGTTTCGTGAGTGGTGATAGAGGTGGTGTGGACACCATGGTCAATTCCTGAGACGAGGTTTTGGGTAGAGATTGAGGACAGACGATTAACCAAGATAAAAGGGATCCTAAGCTTCAGCAAGGTCTAGATCTATCTGCTGCGACTTGCATTGGTGCCATTTGAGTTGTACCGGCGGAAAATCCTGTGTGGCGTTGGCGGTTCCAGGTTTCCCCTGGTCGGAGATAGACGAGCTAGATGCGACCAAGAGGTCAAAGCAGTGGCTGCGAGAGAGCTAACCCCTCAAGTTACGGGGTAATCGTGACGTGGCCATCTTGTTTATCAGGGTGTAACGAGCAGTATTCCGGTTGTGTGAGTCTAGGAGCGACGATGGACTCTAGGAATGATGATGGTATGTTGATGGTGATGTTAACAAGTGGTTGGTGGTGTGTTGAGTCGAGACACTCCCATCACCCTCAGCCGCGTACATTACCATTTCATGTTCCTCGTACTGACTACGTACTCCATCTCTACCTCACTGGTTTCTGTGTCCTTACCTACATATGGACGCATAAACAGCTCTCGGTTTCGCATCAATGGAATCAATACCCCCCGTCCCTCGACCTAGCACGACGCTCACGCTACATTGCTTCTCACGCTCGTCGCATCTCACCATCCACTCGTAACCCCTGAACGAGAACTCCACACAACATCGATCCTCTCGACCTCATATTTCACCGCGAACCCTCGGAGAATCCCACAAGCATTTCCGTAGCCTCAGATGCCGAGGTCGATCTGGGTTGACAAATCTCCGGCCCTCCATATCAGCGACATGCTTGTCTTCGGAGAAACGGAATTCATCAGATGGATGAGAAGAGTTGGGAGCCACTATCCGAGATCGACACTATCAAGACCTTTTGGTTGGACTCGGCCAAATTAATGTTTAGCGAGGTTTCTCTTACACGCGAGCCTTGTCAGTCATTCAGGAGCGAGCTGGAACGCTGGGGTCTCGACCCTAGGACACACATCTCCCACTGCCCGTACCATCTTCCTCTCGTTGTTTCTGTTCTTGGAGATCCCTGGTATAATGTTTCCCATGCTCTGCTTGCGGCGTGTCGGAATGAAGACTTTCCTCCAGCCGCTGGAAGAGCCGTTCCAGCAACCATTCAGCTTCTTCTTTGTCACCCATCAATGGACTCTGTGCTCCTATCCAGCTCCATTTGGGGGCTTGGACGTCTCTGCCTTCCTTTGGCCCGTCAGACCCTGCTCCATGCCTCCCAATGTAGAGATTGCCGCCCTCGTTGTTCTTCGTAGTAGCCTCTCTGGCTTCCCTGTCCTCATCCCCATGTATGGGAGCTCGCCGGTGGTATGACGCATCTGCTTCATCCTCTCCAAGTAATTTGAGAAAGTATTGCCATTCCTCATAACTGTACTTCTTTGGTGTTGCCGCAGACGCGTCTGCGTAGACCCTTCGTATTTGAGACAACAGAACATGGCGATGGCGATGAGCATCTGTTCAAACCAAGGTGAGCCACTTATACCATGTTACTGGGATGCAGTCAGCTTTTACCTTCTTGCCACCGATCGCCCTCGTGTCTGGCATCGGATTCATCCTGTTTCTCCTCCTCCTCGAAGTCGGCCGCCAAGCGATCTTTGGTGTCTTTGTCTTTGTCTTTTCCACCTGCTTTGTGTTTCTTCATACCGTTGCGGAACAGGCGTACAAGGCCAGGATGCAGTTCCTGATACCCAGATTCGCTCCCCGTTTCCGAGCCCCTTTCCACATCACGAGAGTCAGATGATCGAGGATCCAGTTGGCCAAGAGTGACCTTGTACACTCCATGCTTGAGTCGATTTGCTATGGTGTCTTCACTGCTGGGAAGCACGGTGATCTCTCCCAGCCAGATGGTGACATCCTTGACGGCCTTGACCACAGTATCTCCCATGTCGGAGATGAGAATGGTTAAGGTAGGGACCGCGAGCAGAGTCCAGAAGACAAAAAAGGGCTTACCGCTGTTGGACATGGGCTGGAAATCCCCATATCCGATGGTCAACAACGTCGTATATGAAAAGTAAAGTGATCCGAAATACGACCAATCCTGGTTCCTCTCGGCACGTTCGAAGACCAACGCCCCTATCGTCCACTATCGATCGTCAGCGGGATCCAGCAGGGGATGAAAGTCATACCGTACCAAGAAAGCAAAAGCAAACGTTGAAACAAGCAAACTCATGTACTTGCGCTCTGTGGCAGCCCACTCTTGAACTTTCCTCATCGCCTCGAACTCAGCCTGTCTCCTCTCGAGCTCCGCGACCTCACCATCTCCTGGCTCCACCGTCAGTGCTTTCGTGGTGTGTTTCCCAAGCCCCAGGGCACCCTTGTGCTTCAAACGGCTCTTCCTCTTACTGATTCTCTCAATCTCCTTGAGCAATCGTCTTCGGGTCTTCTCCGTCAATCGGGCTGCCATCTTCTTTTTTCCCCTTTCCAGAATTAGTGAACGAATGGAACCGACGACCAAGCCTAAGATGATAATGCCGCCCATAGCAAAAGGAAATAGCAGTCCTCTACCTAGATGGGTCTTTGGTGTATAATCATCGCCAATGCCAATTGTTAGAGAAGTGAATTCCGCCCAATATACCGCATCCAAAAACTTCCATTCCTCGATGTGTGAGTACACCAGTGCCCCTAACAACTGATACAACAAGAACATAATGGTCTGCAACATCAAAGTCCTTTGCGCCACAGTGAGCTTAAACTCTTTACTATAATGCCCCTTGTACGCCCCGTACACCGTAAAACACATCAAGTATGAAATTATCTGGTACAAACCCGCAGCAAAGATGGCGTAGTAGTATGCCTGGGAGAGGGCCTGATGCCGGACGCCGGGTGCGTCAAAATCAGAGGATGCGAAGGCAATCAGACCGATCAGAAGCACTGAGGCGATCCAGAAGCCGGCTATGGTGATGGGTTGGGCGATGCGGAAGGGAACACGTCGCGCCATGTTGAGGAGTAGAGACATATTGGCGACAAGGGCGAACGCTAGGGAGACGGCATTGACGGCGATAAGCCTGCATCAGACATTATTTAGAACCATGTAGTATTCTGCGCAACATCTTCGCGGTATTGGGATGGGTAGTACCGTGTCGCGATAACCTACCAGCCAGGGTCTTTGATGTCAATCCCATGCTCTTCTGTTCCTCCAGGAGGAATCTCAACCCTCCAATTCTCCACCAGCGCACAGATACTGAATGCATTGGCCATAGGTCCGAAAGTACCTGCCACAAGGGGAACTCCGGTCGAAGCATACCACCACCTTGCTGGCATGAGAAAGTTTCGTTCTTGCTCCTCCTCCTCCATTTTGTCATAAGTCTCTTCTGGAGACGCATTACGGTGCTGGTGAGGGGATGACGTTTGGGCATTGTGGTGAGATGCAGGGGGGTGATCTTCGACATTTTCTTTGACAATGGCAGAGGCATCGGCTATGGGCTCATCGAGGCCTGGGTCGTTCATACTGAGTCAATCGAGCCAGGAGAAAGGCTGTAGAAACCAGGATTCCTAGGTACGTTGGAGGAAGAAAGAAATGAGACAGAGCCCAGGTCGAGGAATAGTTAGAGCATTTTTGATTGGAGTGTCGTGGTACCGTGCTCCCGGTCTGTTACAGTCTACCTAAAGGTATGCTGAGGACTTGGACGGAGACGGCGAAAGTTGAGGCGGGAAAAGCATTGTGTGAACAGGAGAGAAGGCAAAATCCCGTTCAGCAGACATGGGATTTGTCTACGGTTAGACTGTGTTTTCCTTGGAAAAGATCGGTGGGTTGTTCTGAGCAGCAGGTGGAGGAGCATGCATCGATCGACGACCGATGATCCGGGGGGAAGGTTCCAAGTTGGTCTGCAGCATGAGATGACGTCGATTCACCGGGAGTTGCGTTGGTGGCGGTCGCCTTGGCGAATCAAGCATCAACCCGTTCCCACTCAGCTTGGGCACCTTGTCCATTTCATTCGAGGCCTTCACGGCCGACTTCCCCTTAAGGTGGACGGACATGCTTGAGGGAGCCTCATTAGGCCACCGCGTCCGCTCCTTGGACACGACATCCTTAGGTAAGAAAGGCCCGTGCATTCCAAAGTTGTCTACATGCATGAAGCTGCCACGCTGCCTCAGCCGCAAATGACCTTCGAGAGAGTTACGATTAACTTCAACCGTGACTCGTTCTCCCCAATTGTAGATTTTTATCGTCCATTGGCTATAGTTGTTAACTGGTACCAATAGCGGTGGTGACAGGGCCGTGATTTCAGCCTTCTGAACATGCCTGGTTGGACAGTATGGTTCTTCTGGCCTTGACTCTGTCGGAGTACCGCAACAACGCCAGTTCCCACGTCTGTCGCCATACTGCCAATAAGTCCTCACTCCAGAAGAACTTTACGACTGACTTCTTGACCCACTTCCAATTCCTGGCACTGGATGAATCCTCGAGAATTCTATCCAAGAGGACAAATCGTGGGGCATGTGGTTGAGCTTGATTCATCGACACTGCTTCGCTTGTAGGCCCCTCGTTAGACGAATACGCAGGACCTGCGATGACCAACGCCATCCATATGGTACATTCAAGCGGTAAGTCGCGCAGATTGTATCGGGAAAGCATTTCCGAGAGCGATTCGACCAATCGCCGATGCACCGGGTTCTGTTGCTTGGATTGGCGAAAGGTCTCCGTGGTAACGGCCGCCAGCGCCGAACAAAGAACCCTCTCAAGTGTGTTCAACCCACGAAGAGGCACCAATTCGAGACACGCCTGCGTTTGCTTCATATACGTGCCGTTTGGATCTCCCAAGGCGAGGACTCCCTTCTTCCGCGAGCCTTGCAACTGTGCAACCCACTCCGTCACACGTGCCAACACTGTGATGATCTGAACGCAGAGACTCCCGGACAAGGAAATCTCTCGAAATCCATCGGGAAGCTTGGCGATCAGGGTGCAGAGGTCAGGAGGAAATGGATGTTTCGGATATTGTAGTTTGATGCTGACTTCGGTGGTCGAAATGCTCATCTTCTTATTTTCGTGGTACGCCCAGAGAGATTCGAGGCTGGCGTCTGTTAGTCAATTCTGTCGAGGAACAAGCACGAGACTGCTGGTGCTGCGAAGACTCTCAGTCCTCTCAGGGGCTTACCCAGTAATTGAATTCTTCAGGAAGTCGTCCCACCCCAGACGATCAACCCCTCCTCGCAGTTCCACAAGATGGCGTAGACCAATCAAATGGGTCTCAAACGAAACAAAGTCATTGTAAATCAACTTGGCGGACGTCAGTCACAGTTTGTCTTGTAGTGCGAGGTCGAGTTCACATACGGCGATTCCCAGCAGGGCCATGATCGCCAAAATCGTGGCATCATCGTCGCAAGTTGGGCTACGTGCCATCTTGAGACGCAGGGCTTCGATTCCTTTCCCATAGTGGATCAAGACTTCTCTTGTTGGTTCTCGAACGTTTCCACGCCGGGCTTCATACGAGGCTTGAGCGAGCGCCACCATGAGTTCAAACATGGACGCATTCTCCAAGGCCAGACCAAAATACCGTCGCGATAGCGGCAAGCTATCTGCTGGACCTAATTGCTCTTTTCTGGGATTGATGTGAACCGGCGCATAGTGCTGGAGGACTTTGCGTAAACCAAGAATCAGCGACCGTGTCCCGAACAGGATTATTCAACCAAACTCACAATAGTCGACAGCTGAAAGGACACCCCCTTCCGGTGATATTGGGAAAGCACAGAACGGATCGCCACGAAGCCCCCCAGATGTCACAGTCAACCTCGGTGACACCACAGTGGTGGTTATGGTGAGATCCTGATTGACGCCAGCTTTGACCAACCCAAGTAGCGAATCGCGAATGGGTTGCGAGTCAGGACTTTCATCACGAGACGTCGACAAGATGTGGTCGCGAGGTTTCCCTATATTAGCCTTGGCTCTTTTGATGGCTTGATTGTGGATGCGATTGCGCTGTCTGGGATTTGGCTGATTTGTCGAGACTGGGGACGGGGTTTCGTCTGAGGCGATCCTTTTCGGAACCGGGCTAGTTGACTGCATCAGAAATGAGAGGAAGATGAGTGTTCACTGTCTGGAGCGATGACAGTCCGCTCGTCCATAGCGACTGCTGAGGATCACAAGGAAGCATGAAGAAACGAAGGGTAGGAAGTCATCTTGAATGGTAAGGGGGCTCAAGTGTAGGTAGAAAGGCACGCTGAGGATGAAGCTTTTGGAATTCTTGGGGTCCGTCAGCCCTGTATCGTGACCCTCGTAGCGCGTGGTCGACGCCTTTGTCAGCTTTTTGCCAAGCGGTGGAGCTTTGTGTGGGCTTGGCCCTGCACATCTCGCTTGAGTGGGAAAGCCCGTGCTTGCACTATCAAGATGAGGCGAACAATCCTACATCAATTCCAAGGGCCGTCATCACAATTGAGGTATACAAATAAAAGTATATAGATGAGGCTACTATATGGGATTTCAGGGCCGTACGAGGAACTCTCCAGGAACCTAAAGATACAGAAGATACCCCACAGCAGACATTCAATTCGACGGATGAGCTTGCGTCAGGGTGGGGAAAACCAGAAGATGGCAGAGCACGAGGAGTGATATACGCAATAATCATGGTGAACCATTGGACCGTCGCCCAGGACATTGAGAAAGAGTTCTGGGGACTAGAGTTTGGCAGTCCAAGGCAACAAGACACCAACCAGCAACCAGTCGTCCCTGGCACGGGTACTCAATAAGTTGCCTTCCTTCAGTCGCAGGCGTGGTCATCTGGAGGGGCGGTAGGGCTGGAGGGCCAAAGTATTATCATCCTCTGAGAACAAGTACTAAGTACTAAAGCCCCTGGTACGGAAGTGTTTCACCGAATTTGGTGTTGACGAGCAAGGTGGGTGAGAGTGGCTGTTATCTCCAGATATGCTTGTCTCGTTGCCCTGTCAAGCTTGTACGGGAGGGCATCCCCCGTGTTTTAACTGGCTCAGGCACGCCTAAAACTCCGGCCGCCCAGGCCTGAGACGGTAAAAATTGACGGACATGAGGTGCAGGTTCGAGAAGATCACTTGGTGAACCCGCCCGCAATGCAGGCCTAGGGCCCAATCTCGTGCTCTTCCGGCCTCCACTCCACCGCTAAGGTGGCCCTTAGTCTCGCCTCACTAGCCTCTAACCAGTTACCCACCAGTGCCACCACCCGCCCTCAACTCACACACAGGTCCTACGAGTACCTACTCCGTACCTACCCTTTCCGCCCACCCACTCTCCCACTCCAAGCTCGTCCAAGGAACGTGCATGCATCTGCATCTGCCCGGTTTTCTCGTTGGCGATGCGACTTCGACGACTGCGCCTCAAACGCATCCTTGTCCAACATCTCTTTACCACAGTTACACCTGCCTCCAACCACGCGGACATTCGTTGAACCATCTGCTATCTACTGATAGTATTTCCTTGCAACTTATTTTTGTTCCATTTCACATTGTACCATTAGTGTACGGGGGGTTGATCTCTCACGTCCGATTACTTCAGTCACTCCACAAGACATCCATCACCGTCACCCTTAATGCGCAACGCTCATCCATCTCGTCGTTGCGCTTTGGCGCCGTGGAATCTCTAAAAGACCAAGAGATAGCTGCAGCATACCATTGATATTCCAATTCCACATCATGCTGAGGCCCGCGACTCCTCTGACCGTCTTACTGCTCATATCCTTCGTTTTCCTTCTGCTGTCGGTTCTCTCCACGCCTGTCATCCACAGCATCCCCATTGCCACCTATCGAGGAGTTAATTTTGGAGTTTTCGGGTACTGCACACCAACAACATGCAGTGGCATAAGGGTGGGCTATACAACTGGTAACATCCCACATGACGAATTCCGCGTTGCTCAGATATCAGTGTCACTAACTCTTGTCCTAAGATGGTCTCTTCCCCGATGGAGACACCGACTTCAATCTTTCGTCATCGACGAGACATTCGCTATCCTCCCTCCTCATCGTTCACCCTGTCGCGGCCTTTTGTAACCTGGTGTGCCTTGCACTGGCTGGTGCGGCTCACCTGCACTCCCCCTCGCATTCTGCCCGCTATCTTCTAGGCCTCCTGATTCTACTACTGCCAACCCTTCTGGTCACTTTGCTGGCTTTCTTGGTCGACATTTTACTGTTTGTGCCGCACTTATCATGGGCAGGATGGATTGTCCTTGCTTCAACCATCCTCATAGCCGCCTCAGGCGTTGTCACCTGCGCTATGAGGCGGACACTCGTCTCTAGGAAAGCGCGTAAGAAGAGAATTGCCGAGAACGCGGAAATGAGCGGGGAGAACTATTACAATCGGCAGGCACAAGAAGCCAAAGCGGTTGCGCAAACATTTACCACTGAGCCTACTATGCCCATGGTTAATGGCTCGCCCGGGGCAGATAGGCTGCCTGCCTTTGCAACTTTCGACGTCAGTCAAAAATCAGACGAGGAGCGCCAACCCCTCCGAACACAAGCTCTATCTACTGAGCCAAGTCTGGCGACACCCTCCCGAGACGGGATATCGGATCAATACTACGGGCCTCCCTCGCGATCCAGCAGTCGGCCACCTCAAAATGGACCACGAGATCAATTTGGGAATCCGCCTCCTCCGCCGATCCCTTCCGGTCCAGATGGAGCAATGGGTACGGGACAAGGTAGAAGGTCGGGGGACGAAGCGACTCCTCCTAGTCCTTATCGCGACCGCAGTCTGCCACCGCTGGGCGGTCGAAGCTATTCGCAGCGTGGCAGGGGTGGCTATCCGCCTCGGGGTGGTTATCCTCCGCGAGCAGGTGGCTTCGGCCCAAGGGGACCACCTCCGCCACAAGGCTATCCGGGCAGAGGTGGATTTCCGGTCGACATGAGAGGAGGATATGGTGGGCGAGGGAGAGGTGGATTTCCACCCACTGGTCCCGGTGGTCCGATAATGGCTGCTGGCGCCATGATGGCTGGTGGTCCGCGACGACCTCCACCAGGCTATCCGCCTAATGGAGCTGACAATGTATCAGAGAGATACACGTTGTCGGACGAATATCCAGTGGCGATGGGCCCCCCGCTACCCATGGCACCTCCACAACAGTATATCGAAGACAACGAGCGGGGGTATGACATAAGGAGTCCCTCTGTCTACACCCAAGCAGAGGAGATGCCAGGTCCATATGGAGCCAGAGCGCAGTCACCAGGCCGGGACAGAACCTCACCCTATGGCGGTCGTGTCCAGTCCCCATCGGGTGCTCTGCGTCAACCTTCCCCACCTCCGGCTATGCCCCCGTTACCCACGACTCAACCTGTCGAGATGGCTGGCACCTCCGTACGTGACTTCAAACCCCAAAGGTCACAGAGTCAAGATCCGTAAGTGCAACTGCTCATAGGACAAGTAGATTTCCACTGACTGATTAGCTATGTACCTGCGCGGGCTAACTGGAACAATATGTCGGGCGAGGATTTGGGATATCCGAGGTCACCTGGAAGACAAGCTCAATCTCCAATCGAGCTCCCTACAAGCGGCAGTCACGTAGGTGGCTATAGGAGTCAACCACACAGACAACGCGTCAACTCTGGTGGGAGTGATCTCTACTACGAAGATGTCGATCCACGGTTCGCTTCGGACCCAGAGCCGGTACCGCCACAAAACCTCCAGCCAGGAGAACGGAACCGGAGGCCTCCTCCCCTTCTCACGCCAGGACCGCCCGGCCATTACCGACCCGACTCCTACAACGGCATGCCTCCAACGAACTCGTACGAGGAATTGCCCGGGGCGCGATCTCCAGCGGAAAGTGAAACTAGTAATTTCACCTCTGTCAGCCAGCGCGGCGTCAACCCCAATTGGCGGCCGAACAACGGCGGAGAGTTCAGCACCCTGGGTCCTATGAGGAGGCGAGAACAACAGACGAGGCAAGACATGCTCCTGGCAGGAAACCCCGACTTTGAGCTGCCCGGAGCCGTAGGGCCTCAGCGTCTCCCAACTCGAGGTGGTAACGGAGGTCCAGGGATGAGAGGCGGAATTATGAGAGGACCAGCTCGTGTCCCGCCTGCTAGTGCCATTGGTGGTGGTGGCGATGGTCCCTATCCCACTCCCATGGGGCCGCCCCTGCCTGGGGGTTCAATGGGACCGCCTGGACCTGGACCGGGGACTGGAATGGGAGGAATGAGGGAGATATGAAGGATATACATGGAACCAAAAGCTTAGCTTAGCTTACGTATAGTCCAGTCTAATAATGTGTGATATGCGGACTGGGGTCTTGTGTGAAAACCACCAAAAAATGAAATGATTTGATGATTACGAGTCAACATCGAGCCAGAATCCAGGAGTTTCCCAGTGTCTTATACGGGAGTAAGATGATAGTAAGCACCTCCCACATCCCTGGTGGTTGCGCCTGGTGGTTGCAATCCAGCCGGGAAATGACCGGAGAACACATGCACGATCGATCAGTGTGAAACCAAAATATCAGTCAGTCAGTCAGTCAGTCAGTCAGTCAGTCAGTCAGTCAGTCAGTCAGTCAGTCAGTCAGGGCAGGCAGGAATGGAATCATGGAATCAAGGAGTCGAGGATGTTGACATATGTAAGTCACATACCAGTATGTCAATCATACCATAGCGGAATCCCATGTTCACGTGACCAGAACACGTGGCGGGCTAACACATATGCACGCGCAAGGCTACGAGGTATTTACATACATACACACACAGACGTCAAGGAATGTAGAAATAGAGATGGGTCCTGGATGGCTAGGATTAATATATTCATATTCATACACAATGTGTGTGTGTGTGTGTGTGTGTGCTGAGGTATTTACTATATATCTAACCTACTGTAAGTGGGTAGGTATCGAATGTGGTTCAGTGCCCGCTAATTAAACATGTCATCCAGTGTCTGATCTCGTTTGCATTATAGTCATATCATGATCCTCCCGTCTTGGGTTGTCCTGCCACCAAACAACCCCAGGATATTGGAATCAACACCACCACCACTGTTGGTCCCGCTGTTGCCAGCGCCCTCGTCCCCTGTCCCTCCTAACCATCGTGGTCGCTTGAAGCCGGTACTACCTCCACTCCGACTCGTTGGAGGTTGCATCCATTTGGGCGTTTCGATCGTGTCAATCGTGTTTTTCACCCTCCTCCCAAAAAGCGTGAAGAAGTTTTCCTCATCGGGCTCAGGTTCCAAAGTAGGTCGATCTCTGAATCGATCTCTGGATGTTGGATTGTGCGGCGTACTCGACGCTGTCGCGCGATTGCTGCCGGCCCCAGCTCGATCAGCAGGAGGCGTCCACCTCGTTGGTGCAGCACGAGGCCTATCCAAAGATGTGCGCGGTGAATCAGTGATACCCAACGTGGCCGTTGGTCGGTTCCCCTGAAGATCTCGTGCGATGAGGTCCCGTCCTTCACGCCAACCTCCGGTTCCGAAGCCCGACGGATTTTCATCCTCATCTTCATCAATTTCTAATATGCCAAAGCCCAGCACGTTCTTGATCTTGCCATATAGATTAAAAAGTGTCATGATCACTGGAAGCAGGACGAACATTGGGAACAGGTAATCGAACCAAGTTCCTAACGGCGTCAAATTGATCAGTCTCCCCAGGAAGCCATAGAAGGTCGAATTCTGGTGAATATCCTTGGGCAAGAAAGTGAGGAAATTGTATGCCAGCGGCACGGTCAATTTGGCAATCTGCCCGGCATACCAGCATGCGGACTCAGCGTACGTGTTTCTCCTCACTAGGGCTCGCTGGTTCCATGTAGGGACGTCGTTCATACTACTCAGGGCGCAAATGCACATGTAAGTGATCCACATGGAGGCAATGACTTGGCCGCCAAAGCCTATTTGATAGTTCTTGTCACTCGGGTGGTGAATGACCGTGAGACTGACCGCCGATAGGTGTGGAGCAGGAAACTTAATGATTTCAGACCAGATGATAGCGATCGATGCGAGGGAGAGGACAGCTCCCAAAGCTATCCTGACGGCGGGAACAAGGTGCACATGCACATGATAACGCATTGAGGCGGTCATGGGAGACCACTTGAGTGTGGATGAGGTGGCACGGCCAAAGTCGAGTTTCCGTGAGCCTTGGGAATCGAGAATGGCTTGCAGATCTGAGGCGGTCTGGACAATGTTGTCCCACTCGCGAACGTACCTAGCTCGGCGGTGTTTGGCTCGAACTAATCGTCGAGTCAAATCCGCCAGGTATCTTTCGGTGATGACTGCGGGGACTTTGGCAGAGGCGTCGATGGTGGTGACATTGGAAAAGACTCGACTCTCAGGCTGGCCGGTCATGTCGACCAGCTCATCAATCCAATCCTGGAAATCTCGGGCGCTTCCAGTTTTCCTTTGCTTGAGCTGCATCACTTGAGCTTCCAGCTCATCAAGCGCCACAATAGCGTCCTCCAACTTCTCGTGAACTCTTGGAGCTTGGCCCTGGACACGCCGCAGGCTGCCGCTTATATCCGCCTTTCGGAACATCCTCCTCGGGATGGAGACTAGACCGTGGCCCATCAGGTATATGGCAAGAGCAAGACCCCACACATACGCGAGCGCCATGACCAAGGCTCTGATTGCGGTAAAGTCGAAGCCATAGGAAAATATCATGTATATCAGACCGGCGATAGCGCAGACCAGAACGATCAGTTGGTATCTGCCATTGGAACGCAGCGAATAGATAAGCCGGGACTTGGGATCACGATATCCAGCATCCATGTATTCCCCCAACAGAGGCAAGACAACCCATGTCAAGACAAAAGTCAACCAGTAGACGATTCTCCAGGCAACCAAGACAGCTCTTTTGGGCAACCATATTCCTTTCCCGCCATGATCACTCTCTCGCGCGCTGGATGCGAGATCAACGGGGACTAGAATGAGGGCGCTGGCGGGTAGGACTAGGGCCAGGAAGATCGGGACGAGGAGGAAAGCGGGAGTGGTTCGTAGCGGTAGGTAGTGTCGCAGAATGAACAAGACGGCGACTGAGATGGTCAAAAGAGCCAGGCATGCAAAGATGTCGGATCCCACCGAGGATGCCATTTTCCTTCCAATTCCAAATGCAGGAAACTACTTTTGCTATTGACAAAGTGTGCTGATGGCGGCCATTGATCGGTCTCTCATATCGTGATGGTACGAACAAGTCCGGACGAGTTGCAGCGGCCACAAGAAGCGCAGTTGTGTCCTGGACGTCACTGAAGTGGTATAACAAGGCAAATCAGATCTTGAGCGGTAAATGCCTCAGACCAAGCGAAATGCGATAAGTGGGAAGAATTCGGGATGGGGGGAGGGGGGAAATGATTATGCACAGGTGTGAAAAACGGAAGTGGTAGAGGATTGCAATCAGACGAGTGACGTTGTACGCTGTAGTTTGAGAACAGAAACAGTAGAAGAGACAACCAAGTTGGAGGAGGGCGAGGAACAGCACGGGAACGCTATGGCGGATGTAGTTTAGGGCGACATTAGGTAAAGACCCCAGAGCTTCGAGCGTCGATTGGCACCCACAAGGTTCTTGGCCGCAGTGGCAAAGGGCAGTGTGGTCCCCAAACAAACTGAGGTGCGCCCCTTAGAAAAGCGCTGGATCGCAACTTTTGAATCCAACGTGTCAGCTCAGGTCAGAAAGTCTACCAGTATCGAATACTTGCAGGTGTCCCTGCTTCACCAAAGGGCGGAAATGGCATGCTTACTGGTGTAATTTAATCGATGCTGAAGATTGAATCTCACCCAGTCAAGAAGACTAAGGGACAGGGCCATGGCCCTACGAACCCTTTTGTTATGTAGGGAGTATGTAGGACTCCCTCTTGGGGCTACCAGGGGCCCCTCGTCGTGAGCTCTGATTGAATAATGGACTCGGGGGCGCACCCATGGATTCCATGGGTCAGATGAACTAGCTCAACTAGCTGACTCCGGACCACTAATAACATTGGAGGCATCACACCTCCGCCTAACAAACACCCAAGTTTATAGCAGCTCGTGCTTCTTTCTGTACCCTTGGTGCGCTGTAGCGAATTCACTCGTCTCGTCGTGCACTAGTTCAATTTTGGCGAAGAGTCATCCATCCTGGGGCTCCATCCTCGTCACCTGCGACAGCGACTTTTTCGTCTCGTCTCTCTCTATCCGCCTGGTTCATTCTTCCCATGTTCCCCGTCATAACTCCGTATGGCTCTCTAAATCGCTCTACTGTGGGCTAACCTCCCTGGCAGGCAAATATTCTTCACTCTTTTATATCTATTGCCCGACTTTCCCAAAGGTTGCCTCGCACCCACCCCCGCGCTTTGGCTCCCTGGTAGACAAGGCTAAAAAGCCCATCGACAAGCCTCATCGCAAAGTGGGTTGGCCTGGGCTCCTCCACGACGCGCCCGGTTGGCGCCCAATTACAGCTCACTGCTCGACTCCCTTCCAAGTCCTCACATAAGGCACCGCTGCATGGTCTTCCTCAAGCTAGTGTCAGCCTTGATTGTTCCGTATTCCTGGCCGACCAACGCATACATCCCACATCCCCAGACTCATCCTCTTCTCTCTACGCTTCATCCATGGCACAAGAGTGACAACTGCGCTACATTCTCTCCCTGACACCATTGACAGCCTCCTCGACCTCTGTGACCTCCTCCCGTGTGGCCTTCTTCTTGTCGGCCCCGTGTCACCCCCGGTAGACGTCCAACCTCACCGCGAACCAGACTCGGCTCTCATTTCCTTTTGGCCTGTGTCACCACCTCCCGTGACGGAGGCCTGACCAGATCCTGCCTTACCGATCTCCTCTCTCTCCCCTCCGTTACCAGCTTCCGCCATTGTTTCCTATACAGTCCATTACAGGACTCAAGTCAAACCCCGATCCCAAACGGGCCGTCCTTCCTCACCGTTCTCCCTCTCTACCTCGTCCCGAATGCGTTGATCGAGATCACCCAACCTGAGCGTCCCGTCGCTCGCCTGCCGCAGCCATGAATCCACAGCAGTTTCAGAACATGGTGGGCTTGGGTCGAGGCATACCCAACAACATGCAACAACAAATGGCCATGGCAAATCAAATGGGCGGGCAGATGACGGCACAAATGGGACAAATGGGACAAATGGGGCAGATGGGACAGATGGGACAGATGGGCCAAATGAACCCCAGACCTGGCCAAATGGGTGCGGGAATGGGAAGGCCGATGCCACCGCAGATGGCTGGACAGATGAGCCTGAACCACCCTTCGGTT